GCCCCGCTGGGGGGGCCGTCGCGCCCGGGGCGGGGGCGCCGGGGCGGGGGCGGCGCAGGATCGCCCCCGGGCCTGGGGAGGGGGCGCCCGCGGGAGCGGGTCTGCGGAGGGCGTGCTGCTCCCCGGGCGCGGGAGGGGCGCGGGAGACGCGGCGCCGTCTCGTGCTCGCCGAGCGGGGGAAAGTTGCGGGCCCCCTTGGCAGCCCCCGGTGGGGCAGGGGGGCTGAGCGTGCCCCCGCGCCTGCCCCGCGGAAGGGAGGCTCGCTCGAGGGCCGTCTGCGCGATGCTGGAAGTTGTAGGAGTTTCATGCCGTGCCTGCTTGCACCCTGATAAATGGAATATTGCAGTGATTCTATTTGCATGCCATTACGTTACTTGTAAGTTACTTTGGAAGCCTTTGCATCTGGAGAGGTGGTGTAGAAGTAACTGCAATAAATTAATGAATGAATGGATTTCTCTTTCCTTAAAAAGAAGGAGGGGGTTTGCATAAAACCACACCCTCGGTGTTTGGGAGTGGAAGAGTAACAGCCCAGTAAACAAAAAAGGGGGTTGGAGTACAACCCCTCCCCAATATGTTTAGGGTATTTAAGTACTGGGAGAAGAGATCAGTAAAAAGGAAACAGCTCCTGATCTTCTCCTGCTGAAAGGTTGGGTGATTTTGGTATTCTTCTCCTTTTCTCTCAAAGAAGGGTAATGAATATTTGGTGGGGGGTTAGATCCTAATAGGTCTGGGTGTGTGGGATGCAGATACCACTAACTACCTCCTTATTTTATTAGTAGGGGAATGTTAACGCTTCTTCCCATATGCATAGGTGAAGAAGTTGTGAAGTAGACGGACTTCCATGATGCCTTGGAGGGAGGAATCCCTTTCGCCAACTTTAGAATTGAAATTGAAAGCCACACACATGTATACAGGGATAATTAAACTCCCTTATTATATGTGAACATGTGATCCTCCCCGCCTTGTTGCATATAAAATTAGGAAGAATGCTTAAGGAATGAGGAGGTTAAGAGCACCCGCTTTTATGTGCAGAACAACAGTGCAGAAAAGTTACCTCCCTTTCTACGCATATTCTGGAGAGTTGTAGGGGAGAATTGATGATTGTCTCATTTATGAATGGGAGAGTAGGGTATCTTTCTGTGTGGTACCTTCCTAATCCCAGGTTCCTTTCTAACCACCCTTCCATGTGGAGTTAGGAAGGAATTCTAAAGAAGGGAGCTTAACTAATGAACCCTTGTTAGATAGAAGAGTAATTATAGGATAAAAAGGAATTAATATCCAGTTTATGTGAAAGGTGGGAGAGTTTAGTGACCCTTTTCCATTTTATCTGTCTATCCTGGTGTGATCAATCCCCTTGTATATGGCGGGGAAGGCATGGTGAAAGGAGCTCAAGCCCCAGGCTAGCATATTCAAACATAAACAGTGATTAAAGTACTTCCCCTTCTCAATGCATGGAGGGAATTAGAAAGGTGTGATTCAAAATCCATCTGTGGGGTTGGGAGTGGAGTTTATCATTGGAAACCATGATTTACAAATGTCAAAACCTATAAGTCTTCAGCCAAACCAGTATCAATAAAAACACATACCTTTAGCTGGAGCAAGGGGACGTGTGATTCCTTTCTTTTTGTGAATGAGAGGATGAATGCACTGTTATTTTGCACTGAGTGGCTTGAGGAATGCCTTCGGCTGTCTTCTTCGCTTTTCTCTCTGTTCCTATGATTGCTTGTTATGGTGGCCGCAAGGGGATGTGGATTGGCATCAAGCTGTTGCCTACATTTGGTGGAAAAGGAGCATAATTCTCTTTCTGTAGAGATGGGAGCTGGTTATACCACCTTAATTGGTTGTGTGGGTTCCTGAATTGGAGAAGGCATAAGAACACTGCCCGCTTCCCCATATTGGGTGAGCAGTTCTGAGAGCAAGGACGTGTAACACACACTTGTTCTTTTAGGAAAACGAGAATGGTTTCCTTCCTATCCTCCTGAACGTGCAACGTACAAGAGTTAGGGAGGGACAGCAGAGGATCCCTGTAGCAGCAGCTCCATGATTTTTAAAAAGTCTGGTTGAAGGAGAAGGGGTAATTTAAACAGATGTTTCCTTTGGTGTTGATGTTGGTGTTGGTTGGCAGCATGGAGTGTTAAAAAGAAGAAAATGTATCTATACCTTCTCTCTCTACTGGGTGGGGAAGGTGGCTTTTCTGAGCAGGTTAAGTTGCAGAAGGCTGACTGGCCATCCCCTGGTGGGTGCATTGGAATCAGTTTGCTGGCGAGTGAGCCTTGACTGACCCTCTCCGTTCCGGAATGACCCCTTTAGCAAGTATTACCCTTCCGGTCAGATGGTCATGGTAATCATGGCCCTTTCAGGATAATTTCTCTTCGGGGTAGGGATTGGAGCTCTCTTGATCACCTGGCGCAACCTAATATCCAGTGAACATCTGCATGCATCCTTGTGTATGTTTGCTCCATATGTATGGAGTTGTATGCCATGTTGCACAACTCCTGTAGTTCAGGCTCGCACTGTGCTGCTTTGTTTGTTACAGGCACCACCTTGTACTGTTGCGGGGAAATGTTGTGTCAGTTTAGAGAGTATGGATTCGAGGGGCGTTGACTGGTGAGGCCAAAAGTCATTGTAGGGGATTGCTGTTTTCATGGGAGGCTACCCATGGAAGAGGCCTTTCTCTGATATTAGCCATTTTTTTCTTGCCTTCACACTGAAGCTTAACTATTGCAGACTATTGCAATATATAAAAAATATATTGCAGAAGAACAGCTCTGATAGATACAGAAGTGTAAGTAGGGGATGCTGCATTCAGGGGATGCTTCCCAGACAATATTAGCAGAGTAGTCCTCAATGAGTCGGGGATGGGGAGTATTTATCTGGTTTCCGTGTGCCTTGTTGTTCAAAGTTCTGCCCAGACAAATGAAAATAGCCCTTCACACCTGCACGGTCTTCTCTTTGGCATTGCCTGCACGCTACCAAAAAAGCCAAGCGAAAATATTTTGCATTTGCAAATCCAGCAAGTGATGCGGGTTCTTGCACGAACCTTGACAATTGTTCCTTTATGTCAGATCAGACGTGGAATTGGAGTACCCATGACAAATGCAACACAGATAATATTATCCCTTTAACACCTTAATTGGCACCCAGGGCACCTTCCTTCCAGTGCCTCCAAGTCTCCTGTGCCTTTTGGAAAAACATGTAAGTACAAATTAGAGTGCGATTATCAAAGCCGTTCTCTGGCTTGGTCCTCAACCAGGTAGTCTCACATTTTTGCATATGCATTTCCTTCTTTAGACTTAATAACACCTAGCTTTTTCATTGTCATTTCCTTGCCTGTGTCTCCTTGCTCATATGCTTGTGTGTGTAATCCCACAAAATGGGATTGTGGGAGCCAAACAGAAATAACTGAGTATACAGTTGAATTAAAGTTCCTCTTTCGAGTTCCTTCATGTCAGGATCGCATAAATGTTTGCTTTTTGGAGGTTCTGAGATAAGCCAGATAAGAACCGAATATCGCTGCTTACTATCATCATTTTGTAGTTGATTTTTGCTTAAAGTTGTGGACAGACCTGGCTGACCTCAGCTGTTTTCTGACAGGGTGAATGAAGTACCTTTTTAAAGTATGTTGCTGAAGCCTTTATAATAACTTTGGGTTTGTTGCTATTCTGGATGCTGTGATGTGGAACCTTTGGGAGAATGTATTCTGAATGCACCTTTTGAATTGGTTCCGTTCTTGCAGTACTGAATTTGCTTCCCTCTTGCCAGGGAGTAAGTGTTCTAATCAGTGGTTAGTTTTGCTAGAATGACCCTCTAAGAAGAAGGTTGGGGACTGAGGATCTAGCCCTTCCCTGACCTCCAAAGGATGACAAAACCAAAATACGCCCAATTTGCCCACTGGCAAATCCTGTTACCAAAAGCCCAGACTCCTTGGATGCCTAGTTCACCAGTACTTTGGCAACTGGGGGAGGTGATGTGACCCTGGGGATGTGACCCCCTGGATCAGCCAGTGGCGAGTCCTTATTTAGAGCTTACAGGAATGCTCTTTGAAATTTCTAGCCCAGGGTCATTTTGGCAACCGGTCTCTTGAGAGAGAGATGAGCACTAAATGTATGGTTTGCTTTGCCCGTTTATATCAGCTTGGCTGGTAGAAGCCACTGGGGCAGATTTCTGAAACACCCCTTGTCTGGTTGCCTCTTGTGTGTTGGGATTGCCTCTGTGCAAATCAGCAGAGAAACAAGTTGGTGTTTCTCTCCCTACTCCCCTATTTCATTTCAGGCAGCTGCCCCCATCATAGTGCCTTTCAGCCTGGTTTAAACAGCCCATGTGCCACAAATGACCAGCATAGCACAAAGGATCAATCCATCTGGAAAGTTACTTTTCACATACTTCAGCCGAAGGCTTTGGAGCACAGAGCAACTCAAACACAAATCATACTTAAGTTGTCCTGTCCGAGGAACACCAAGGCTAGGACAGACACTAAAACGCTATGTATGTTATGAAACAAGGTTTGTTCCACATGTGATGGAGTTTCTCTGCTAATGATATATTTGCTGTAAGTAGATCAAATGTTGGTCCATTCTTGTCAGATAATGGCCCTGTGTTTTTAAAACACTGGGATTGTGGGATTCGAATAGATCAGCATAAACAGCTATGATGTGGACTACAGTTTGCCCCCCCCCCCCCATAAAATAGCAGTTGTGAAGCAGCAGCATGAGAAGAGGCTTCATTTCATTATGTTTTATTTTTATTCTCCAGGAGCTTGGAGTGGCATCAAGTAGCTCTCCTGCATCCTTCGCTTTATTCTCAAAAGCACTCGGTGAGGCAGGTTAATCTGAGATTGGGCATCTCAGGGCCGGCATTGTATAACAAGCTTCTTGGCTGAATGAGGATCTGAACTTGG